GAATCCTAATATGCTTAGCCTATGACTCTTTATGATCTTTTATGGATTTCGATTGCACTTATATGGTTTTATGGCCGCTCGAACTTATACCGAGCGTTTTTATAGTGAGCCCATTGAGATGTGTCTGGTATTGCATATCGCTGTTAAAATGGCAATTCGGTTAATTACTGCATTTAAAGCAGAGTACAATGGTTCTGAACAGGTGTAATTTCGATTGGAATTGGTAATAATTGTTGTTGGTGTTTCGAAGTTGTCAGTCTAAAAGCACGACCGACTTTATTTCAGAGATTGGTTAATAATGTAACTTTAAATATAACCAAATGTTGTAATGTCTCTTAAAAATAACTGACCTAACCTCAAGATCATTTTAGTGGTGATTTTCCGGGTAATTCTAAGGCGTCAAAAGTACATATATAAACATCCATAGATCCAGAAAAACATAGCTTTCAAGGTACAGGGAATCGAAATTATAATAATAAATTGTCTTTATTTTTCTTGGCGGAGTTTAGCTGACGCTATTCTTCCACTCAACCAAGTTTCAAAGTTACAAAATTGTTCATTGAGCATATTTATAAAAACCTTTCATTAAATTCATCTAGTCTACAAATTGAAAAAAAAAAACTCATAGTGCAGTAATAAAAAAATAAGCCTTTTTGTATAAATAACGTGAAGAGCAACAAAATTGTGTAGAAATTTGCTATAATCAGATAAACTCTTCGTCATAGAATAACCCTAAAAATCAGCCCTTGAAGTGAGAAATAAGAATTCAAAACTAAAAATTTTAGCGACTTTCAACTCCCTGTATATCAAATACCCGTTTCTCCATGACAGATCGAAAAAACGCGTTTATAATATTTTCGATGTTCCTATATGGAATGACGAAGTAAGATAAGTTAATCCTGAGACAACTTGTATACAGGGTGTTCTCCAAATTGAAACAATAAATCAAATGGTTGATTGGAGAAAACAGATTCTGCAATGTTGCCAGACGTTCTATAATAATATAAAAAAGTGGTATTTTGAGAGCGTATATATTAAAAAAAAACAGCTTGCCACTCATCGACTTCATTGACTTTTTTAAATCAATGTTGTTATACATGTTTTGCTAATGAATATTTTTCATCAAATTTTTGGGATCAAACCGCACTTGAAAGCTTCTGATTGCCCTGAACTGAAACTTGGAATTATACTTTTTTTCAAATATTATATGATGATAAAAAGTCTATTATCACCAAATTACGATATTGGGGTTTCTCAAGGATCAATCTTAGGTCCAATATTATTTTCTTGTGTATCAACGAATTACCTTCAATTATTTCAGAATCATTCACATGCATGTATGCAGACGATGCCGCATTATTATTCACAAGTAAAAATGAGGCAGAAATCCAAGATAAAATAAACCGAACAACGTCTATCTTATGTACTTGGTTAAACTCTTTGTTTCTGAATCCCACAAAAACTACCAGTTTGAATTTTCACACTTACCAAAATCATAACCTGTCGAAGCTAACGGTTAGTATCAATGATACCAAAGTAGAGCCTTCAAAAAGTACTACAATTTTAGGTATAACCGTGAACAACAATAACCCTTTTAGTATTCACTGCAGTAAGCTGAGCAAATCAATGAATTCAAAATGTTACCAAATACCAAATCAAGGTTCTCACTAATGTTTTGGATAATCGAGGTCTGAAACAATATTACTTTAGTCAGATTCAGTCTAGATTATCATATGGAATAATGTTATGGGGAAACTCAACAGGAGTATAGGACGTATTCATTTCTCAAAAAAGGATCATCAGATCGATTGCAGGAATATCAACTACATTCTCATGTCGTAGCCTTTTCAAAAAACATGAAATTTTACCACTGGTTGGACTTTTCATTCTGGAACTCTTAGTTTATGTTCATAGGAATAGAAATGCTTCTACAAGAAACCGATCCTTTCACAAATATAATACGAGAACAAGAAATGATTTTCATATTCCTAATCACACTATGTATGAAATCATATAAAATTCTTCGACTGAGATTATATAGCGTTCTTTCAGATGCCTTGAAAAATATCAACTCAGTTCATTGCTTCAAGAAAATGATATGTATCTTGAATGATTTCAGAAGTGGGGTTAGATGTTCCTTTTTTTAAATAGTCTTGTATATCAACGTGTATATGTGATTTTAATTAGTTTTGGTCTTTGACCTGTCCAATAGCTATGTTAGTGAGCTCATTTAATGGATCAAATTTTTTATCTATCTATCAAAAAGTGCCATATAGTGAGTATATTCAATGTTTCAAATTTGAAAAAAAAACATATTGAAATTCCGAGATATTCACCAAAGAGAAAGGAGAATCAATTCTACCACCATTTCCGAATGAAATGGATTTGACCATGAATTATATTACAAGGTGCCCGGAAAAATGTGGGAAACATTCGGACCATATGGCCCCTAAAGGACGCCACTGGAAGTCGGTCTTTTTATATGAGAGATACCAGTCAACCCCTCTGAACCTTGTGGTTGAGAAATAATTGAATTATTACTTGCATTTTTGAAACATAATCTCGGCCTCAAATTTATTTAAATGAGAATAATAACAATGCGCTTTCCTTAATTAACCGAGAATTATTATGAACATGAACGCATAAGTATATCCAGCCGTTAAATGGGAATGATTATATGAAAAGGAAAGTCCGTATAAATGTCTATAACAATGCATTTTCACACTATTATTATGTGTTTTACCTTTAGAGCCTCGGTTTGTGTAATTTCTATACTTATGATGTATCTGATGCCTGCTGAATTCACACAATGACTGCCGATGACGAATGTCATTCATCGGGTTCTAATTGTCCCACGGATGTTTCAGCAATTTTTCAGATGAAACTGATGTTTTGTTTTGCATAAATGTCCTTCAGGAGGTTTACGAAATCGGATCCAATTCAATGGACAAGATCGATAAAATGAGAACTAAACTGTTTGTTATATGAATATATAGTAGTTCTATACGGTATGTAATGGTATAATATCGGTTTTTCTGAAATTTGGAACATTGCATAAACTCCCTAGAAGTCACTTTTTGACATATTTGGAAAAAAATTCAACTTCTGCTTTTCCGGAAATATCAACAACTTTCGATATTCAAATGAAGCATACACTGTATATTATTATATTATATTCTAAGTTGACATTTCGTTCTTCAGAACTGAACTCCCATTCTATTTTTTGATCTAGAGAGCCATGCATGAACTTTGTAAAACTATTCGAAATAATCAAAATAGTAGAAGTATCTTCACGAAAACCTAAGTATCAAATTATTATCAACTAGCAGACCTCGCAAACGTTGTTTTCCTAGATACATTATTTCTATAATATATTTTTTCAGTTAAATATTCATCAAGACACTATCATTATTTTATTTTCTTCTTCTTTTTAATTTAGCTACCTATATGAAAGCGTGTTTCTTTAGTTTTTCAAACTACCATTTATTTCAACTTCTTTTTAGTTCACTTGAATTTCCCAATTTTGACGAACGAATCATAATATCCGACTCCTAAAAACCGCAATATTGGATCTACTTTCTTGAATTCCCTTATTTTGACGGAGGAATCATAATTTTTGATTCCGAAAACGCCCACTTACCAAATTTTGAATAGACTCGGTATATATAATTACAGAACTCGTCCGATATATTAGATCCGCCATCTTGAATCTCCTAATGGTACCGGGCTAAGAAGTATCCTGTAACCTTCTCCTGGTTCTGAGCTACTTTCCCATCAATTTTCAGCCAAATCGAAATAGTCAAATCTTTCATCGTTATAATATTAGTAAAGACTTTTTTAATCTATGGTATAGATTATACTGAATGCTCGACTGAATGCATTATTGAATATCGAAAATGCGCGAGCACTATTTTGATTATCTCGAATAATTTTAGGAAGATTAAAATATTGTAATAATATTCAGGGTGCCCAATATCAAAATCAAATCTCAAAAGTTGATATCGAATCTGGAAAAAGCGGAAGTTGATTTGTTTCCGAATATGTCAAATGTGCCGTCGAGTGAGTCAATGTTTCAAATTGAAAAAAAATGAAATCCCGAGACATTCACCATTATACAAAGAAGAAGAGGGGGTGGGAAATATTTTTTTTTTCGAATGAAATCGATTTGACCCTGAAATGTGGGAAATCTCTCGAATCATGGTCGCTAAAGGACGCCACTGGAATTTGTTTCTGGATTTCTTGAATAACATTCAAGAAAATGAATATAATCCGATGAAAAGTCAATATGAGGGGTACCGGTAAAGACCCCTTAAAATAGTGTATTTGAAACATATTCAGCTTTCTTAGTTTATCGGGGGCAAAGGTTATCACAAGATTTTCTTTAATGCTCAAATTTTAACACCCTGAGGAGTGCATTTTTCTCCAGAAATTTTTCTTGATCTGGGAGATTGTCGAAATTTTCTGGGAAATATTCTGTATTTTGGTTCCGTAGAAATTCTGATTTTTTGCTAATATTGAGTAGTCATAAAGGATAAATGGAAGAGTACATTCAAATAACGGAGACGAGAAATTATTAATGAACAGAATTATACTGTAGATATTTTGTGAAGTTGACCACCATGTAATGAATAAACTTGATGTTCATTCGAAATCTGTATCAATTCAGTGGTACAAGAACCTGAAAAATAGTCAATATATACCTATTTCTACTATGCACTTTGTTGGTGAATCATTATGACTATCTATACAAAATATAAGTGAAGGGGCAAAAATTATGGTTAACATACCACTCATTTTGGTGTGAGATTAAAAACTGGTTGATAACAAATTTTCTTGATCAAAACAACAATTCCATTCGTATATATGGTGACTAAACATATTCAACTATTGTTCGCTGATTGATTTAATTATTAAACCAGATAGGCTCATTTTCATGTGCTCTTTTTGGTTGATTTAACCCAACAATTTCTTTGAGTGTTCTTGTGAATTTTTTTACGCACTTGGTACAGCGTATCCCACCACCCTGTATACAAATCCAGTATATCCCACGGAAATCCTTCGTGGTAGCCACTTAACTGTACTCACTTTCCACAAAAAAAAACTCAGGAACCTCACTTCACAAAAAAATCAAAGAAACAAAAACACCAATGGGAATGGTCTCATTGAAAAGATCATAAACTAACTAAAAACTAAGAGTGTCCTCTCGCGTAACCCCTTTTATATGAGAGGCAGAGGATGGATGCTACTGCAGTCCCCCAAATGAGTTGTGGCGCTTTCTTCTCCACGGATCGTTCACTGTTTGATTGGCAGACTGTGGTGGAGAGAGTAAGTGCATCTTCTGGTCTATGATTTTTTCGCGAATATGTACAGGGTGAGCCGCAATAAGATCGAAAAAATTCGATTCAAAAGTATTTCAATTGACGTTAGTTAATTTGCATTTTTTTTGGGATCACACATTCAATGAAGGATGCATTCGATTATGGCAAACTTGAAGGAATGCTTTATGGGTCGTTTTAATCAACAGTAAAAATACATGAGCTTTTTTTTATCGGATAAAGGACCCCGCACGAAAACTCGGGAAATTGGCTCTCGGTCGAATTGGCTGACATTTTACTATGTTGTTGTGGGATGGCTCATTAGAAAAATATGTGAGTTTGAAAAGTTTTGTATGTTTAGTTTCTGAGATGTAAGCCGACAAAGTTCGTAAAAAGGTCGTATCGGGGTAGGATTGACAAAGAAAAAAACTGTTTTTTTATATAAATAAGACAAAATAAGCTAGAAGATGTATTGATAGGAACTCAAATACATGTCTAGTTATGATCACATTAATTATAGTAATACGATAGTATACGAGGCACGGTAAAAAAATTCATTTTTCGAAAAACAAATTCGAGCACTATTCCTAAACCAACAAGTTGAATTTTGGTAAAACATTATAGTTTTAGTCTATTGTAGGCTTCGAAAACGTATTTTCATTCTTTATAACTATCTCTGTTCGAAATATGAATTCTTTGAATTTTGTGTTATACCCGTTTTGGAAATCAATTGACAGCTTGTTTTTGACCACAAAAAAAGGGATTGATTGATAATGTTGATTGAATGAAAGCTGAAGTAACTCACAAGCGAATTCAGTTGTTCAATATTGCTTTTCATTTGGATACAGGGTGTGTTAGATATTGTTGAAGATTATTTAAAATGTTTCAATTGAATATCTCGAAAACAGTTTTTGGATCTCATTTTACTCACACTATTTTGAACATGTTGACTATCACATGCAAAAAGTTTTTAAATTTTTTATGTTTCTTTTCTGAGATATGGATCCCTATAATACCTGTAATACTGTCAACTCAGAGATTGAACGAAAAACATTTGCCCATCAGTAATTTCACGAACTGACATGAAAAAATTACGAGACAGTATAGGTCGAGCAATTTTGTCTAATGTCAGTTTTTCGACAGAAATAACTGATGGAAAATGTTTGAGTTAGTAAGGAAATTTATCCAATTAAAAAAAACTTCGAGTGTTTTTTGGCAAGATAAATCAACGACAATATACAAATAAACAACAATAATGATTGCAGATGATTTCGTGTAACTGGTAGGTCGCGGAATTGATTTTCTCATACTTTTGTGGTTTCTTCAGACGAAATTTTCCTGAAACGGCTCATCTCAAACAAACTTGACACGACAGAAATTGGTGTGACATCAGGCGCAAGTAGCTACTAGAGGTGCATCCTTTTTTATCGATGTCAAAATGACTCATATCGTCGTCAAATAGTGTTTTCCGTGTAGGAGTTGATTTATCGTCGACAAAAAAATAATTGTATAAAGCTTTGTATTTTATATGTCAATACCGTAGATAGTTTCGATGGACATATTATACACATGGACTGAGGATATCTTATGGAATATTTCTCTCATATATAAAATGCCTCATATAAGAGCAATGCAATGCAATGCAATGCAGTTTTAGCCTTTGACCTGTCCAATAGCTATGTTATTGAGCTTATTTAATGGATTGAAGTTTCTATCTATCTATCTATCAATTATCGAAAAATTACAGCGGTAGATAACATTTCTTCGAGAATTTCTTTATTCGTGAAATATTCCTATGAATTACATTCGTGCATAAAAAGACCAGATAATTTTGCATTCAAGCGTGTTATTGTGTATTATACAAATTACGCTCGGATATTTTCATAATTTGGCGAAAGAACCCGAATTCGAAGACGGAGGGCGCTTTTGCCAAAATATGAAAATAAACTTGCAGACGCTTTCTTGCTAAATAACCGGTAATTTTTATGCACTTGTGCAATTTATAATCGTTAATTTTTGTATTTCATTATTTTCGAGTGAACCTGATACTGACAAGTTAGTATAAGTTTATTAATTTCCAAAGCCAATCATTTTCAAAATTTTCATTGATGCTTATTTCTTAGTTACGCACTGATGCTCTACCTATAGCCAAGTTTGAAAAACATATTTTGCACAAACTAGTCAAACTACAAACCTTTGTACACTTATTATCGTTTAGTATTCAATACTGCATGTCCTTTAAAATTTTGGTGAAGGAACTGGTTTTTCTACTTGAATCAATTTTTATCGACAACAGTTTGTCCTAACGATAACAGACAAAGGTACCTTTTTGATACAGAAATATTTCTGATGATGAGAATTTCGAATTTTTTGAAAAGCTATACCTTTGAAAATTTTGAGGGTCATATAACGTGATAAGGCTATAGTCCGCTCCTGTAGTTTTTCGCTGTTCCTATCAGCCAATCAGATAAAGTCACTTCAAAAACAACATTTTTGTGTCTTATCTTCTCTCAGTGTCCTTCAGCTTCAAGAGTTAACAAAAAAATGTACTACTGGTAGGTAAGTACATCATTCTCTGAAAAATTTAAAAAACGTATGTATTTTGGAGAAGATTTTATTTCGATCTCCTCATTTGTACTCATAAATTGAAATACTGCTATGAATTCCTGGATATTTCTCAAGCATTTTTATTTTCCTTTATAAAGTACAGAGATAGTGGGTTCATCATAATAATCATCAATGTAAACCGCAAAAAAACTGCGACTTCCTCGCTAGGTATATAAAACCCTGGTCATTCTGGATAGAATCTAATCTGTCAATTAGATTTTTGATAGATGTTCTATTATACCGTTGAGATTTCATTGAAATCAGCGACTCAATGTCAACTGTTTCTCGGAAAAGTTATTTGTTTTACTAGGCAGAAAACTACCAGATTGAATGCCGCGGCTGGCGTTTAATAGCCTAGGTGTAGCCGAGGCTAGGAAATCAGCCAAGGCATTACATCTTCTTTTCTGCCATGTGTAACATATACATTTTTCTCCAAATTCACGCAAAGTCCAAATAATCCATCATTTTTTGTTCACCCGAAGTGATTGCCAATTTTGATTACCAATTTGATTCAAATTACTTGGAACGTTGCATAGCAACAAACTTTTTCTGCCTAGGCAGTAAAAGTACACCTTTTCTGCCTGTTAAGGGTCAATAAAAATCCACTTTTAAATGTCATTTGGAGAAAAACGACATTTTTCCATCAGTTTTAGGCTTTCAGGATGGAACCTATTATACGTACGATGCTGAATCTAAAATGTCAATATATCCTTAAATTCTGATAATAATAATAATAATAATAAAACAAAGTTACAAGATTTTTAAGGGAATTGTCAAAAAAAAAGAAGAAAAAAGGAGATCGGAGATTAAAAAAATCATGAAAAAAAAGGGGGTGAAAACTACCAACTAATACACAAAAATTCTTCAAAACCATGATAAAACTCATCAACAAGGAAATTCTTGGGTATTCGTTCGAAAATTGAAACAATTTTGGATCATGTTATAAAATCTGGTAGAGAATTATAAACACGTAGAGCCATCTGGTCAGGAGATTCGAAAGCTAATTTGGAAAAAAAATGGTACAAAAACATTGTTTTTTTTTGTCTTGTATCAATATTATGTTTGCATTTATTCAGTGCAAACAATTTATTTCTACTCTCGAACACAGATAAACACAAGTCAAAAATTAAAAGTCTAGGGACAGTTAAAGTTTTCAATTTTTTTCAAGCTGGTCTACATGAATCAGAGAGACCTATATGCCACTAATGATACGTATGAGTTTTTTTGTGCAATGAAGACATCAGAGCAGCTAGAGGAAAAACCCCAGAAGCACACTCCATATCTCAGTCTGGAATCCACCTGAGCATAGTACAGCTTCAGCAGCTGATCATCATTTAGAACCTGCCTTATATTCCTGAACTGATATAAAGTAGAGTTAATTTTTTTTATCAGAAAATCACAGTGATTCTGCCAATTTGAATGTCCATCAATATTAAGACCTAAAAATGTTAAGCTCATTAGCTCTGAAGCTTATGATATCACGCACCTCCGTTGCCGATGATGGAACCTCATTGAATCGGTTTTTTTCGCGTTCATATAAACAAATTGTTTGCAGAAAACCATTTGTTGATATTTTCAGAAAAGTTGTCACATTTTTCTTTTAAAACTGAATCTGATCTGTCAGTAATTATAATTGACATGTCGTCTGCATACATTGTTATTTGAAGTAGTTGAATGCAGCGAAGCAAAATCAACCACATGGTTTTGAATAGTGATGCTTTGATGGATTTTCGAAAAAAGAATGAAGCATTATGCTGAAAATCAATCGATTCCCCTAAATTTTCTTACCACGGGTATTTTTTCTCATCGAATTACAATTTGGCAACCTTCAAGAGGGGTTTCCTCTCTAACTGCTCGCAGTTTACCAACACAAAATCAAATAGTTCACTTCTTACATCTTTTTACGAGCACATCTAAACAAAAAAAAAACAAACATGGCAATCGTATTCTAAACGTCAATCCAATTTCTCTTTCATCCGGAATTATGTTCCTTGTCCAGCTAGTTGTGTAACAGCAAAGAAAAGATATTCTAAAGCACAACAGCACCTCATATGGAATAACCATCAAAACATAAATGTATATTAACTAGAATAACTCTCAGTTTCAATGGTATTTATTCCATTGAGCGGGTGGGTATAATATTCTGAGGCACATTATAGGCAGCGGAATGAAAGTGTGCAAGATTTGTGAATCGAAAATTAAAAACTACATAACAAAGATTATTCATACCATACTATAGTAAATTCAGTAGATGTAATGAAGCACATGACCTGGTGCTTTCTCTTGTTTGAGCAAAATCACTCGTCAATCATCTAGTGGTCAGTGATGTAAGGTTTCTGGAGGAATGACATTTTCACTATTGACATCAGATC